CGTAACTGCTTGGGACAGACCTAGACAGAAACCACCTGCATCTCTCTCCAGACTTCCTTTGCAAAAGCACATTTTAGCAGGAGATGTGTGACAGTCTCTATCCTCCCCTACCCCACAACCACTTAGAGGGCAGCGCGAGGTGGTGCACAGAGACTGGGCATACATGAAGGATCTCACAGGTAGTGCCCTTCCCACCATCAGCCAAGCAATGTCTTTGTGCTTGTTGGACAGTTCTGGTGGTGAGCTGTTCTGCCAAATGACTTTGACAGTCTGCTCAGGGAACAACCCGACAGGAACCACCCTTGCCTTTACCTGCAGGCTCTTGGGAATGCCTTGTGCTGATCACTTCCTGATGGACTTGTGGTCAAAGGTATTTTCTTTCACAAATTTTTCCATAAGAGACAGGCTGTACGGAATAGTCCAACTATTTGGAGCGTTCTGCGTCAGTGAGGCCAGACTCATCCTTTGCACCACCAGGAACAGGTAGTACCTCAGTGTGTAGCAACGCTTGGTGTTTGTGTACCGAGGGTCTATGCACAGCTTGATGTAGCCACACACAAAGGTAGTCATCAGGATGAGGGCAGCGTCAGGTACGTACTGTCCCCCTTCTATCTAGAGTTTGGTGCATTGTGCCCCTTCAGACCTAGTCCATCTTAGATCTCCAGATGAAGTGAAAAATGGCTTGGATGACTGCAACGGCACAGGTTCTGGAAATGGGCCAGACTTGCGCCACGTACAACAACAGATTGAGTACCTCACACATGTTTGCCTGCAATGGAGAGTAAGCGGTGCTGCCCCACCTTCATGATACACTCCCTCCAAGTTGTGGCACATGCCCCAAGCCCTCTGAACCGTATACCCAGCACCTTCAGGTAATTTGTCCTGACGGTGAAGGGGATAAAGGATCGGTTGGCCCAGTTCCCAAAGAACGTGGCCTTGCTCTTGTCTCGATTTACCTTGGCACCCAAAGCCAGTTTGAACTGGTCACAGATGCTCATGCGTTTGTGTACTGACAGCGGATCTGAGCAGAAAATAACGATGTCATCCATGTAGAGGGAGGCCTTGACTTACAGGCCTTTGCTCATTGGAATAGTTACCTCTCTCAGGCCCGCATCCTTCCTAATGGACCCTGCAAAAAGCTCCACACAACACACAAACAAGGCAGGAGAGAGTGGGCAGCCCTGCCTGACTCCAGATCTAATTGGGAAGCTTTCTGATTCCCACCCATTGTTACTCTGACGTAAAGCTAACTGGTCTTTAGTTCTCAGTTTTCTGTCCTGCTTCCTTCTTAAATAGTGGGTTGGTATTTGATTTGACAGGAATTTTCCAGAATCTGTAGACTTTTGGCAGATGATCACCCCAATGCATAACTTATTTCTGTAGTTACCTCCTTCAACACTTTGATATGTAGACTATCAAGTCTTGGGAACTTTTAGCATCATTAATTTCTTGAGTACAACCTTCATACTAGTACTAATTTTGTTTAATTCATCATTCTCCCTCGTCACTTGGATCTCTAGTTTGAGGAGATTTCTGGACTGTTTCTCAATGAAAACAGAATAAAGTAATAATATAGTTTCTCTGCCACTTCTGTATTTGCCATTATAAATATTCCTCACTTTGCCTGTAATGGACCAATGTTTATCTTTGCCAAATGTTTCATTTTTATATAACTAAAGAAGCTTTTACAGAATGTTCTTATGTTCCTGCTAGATCGAATTCATATGGTAATTGCAGCTGACACTCTGACAGTGAATTGCGTGGGTGAAAGTTGAGATGATTTTAATTGGCAAAATTAGATGGGTGATTAGACCAAAAATAATGTACAGGCCTGGAAGGGTTAATTTAAAAGGTATGTAAGTTAGTATGTTATATATGGAATTGTGAAACAATTAGAAGTACAGAAAGTTTTATAAAGAAGTTGTCTTCCCATGACTATCAGAACAAATAGAAGGACAGTGGCTCAGCAAGTTAGATCAGAAGATCAGTTAGACAGAAGATCAGCAAGGGATTGCCCATGCTAAATTGCCCATAGTGCCCAGGGATGTTTAGGTTAGGTGGGTTAGACATGGGGAATGTAGGGGAATGGTCTGGGTGGGATGCTCTTCAGTGGGGCGGTGTGGACTTGTTGGGCCGAATGCCTGTTTCCACACTGTAGGGATTCTATGTCTGTGTCTAAATAACAGGCAAGCGAAAATAAGGGTATTGTATTTGGAAAATAAATGTAATTGCAGCAAATGGTGGAAATTGGAACCAAGTACAAAAATGTGGGAGAAACTCAGCAGGTCTGGCAGCATCTGTGGAGAGAGAAACAAAGATAACATTTTGAGTCCAGTATGAGTCTTTTTCCAAACAGTCAGAAGAAGAATCGTATCAGACTCGAAACCATAAAAGTTAAATTAATTGATTTGTAATTGCCAAGATATGTCTCATTTCTGAAAAAAAATACGTACCGTATTGACCAATCTCCTCGCACACCACAATTTTCAATAAAACCCTGAGGTATATGTCATCTAGAGTTTCCACTTTTGTGGAAGTATTATCTCTTTTATCTTAACTAACTCCTCTATTATCACACCTCACCATTTGTTCATTATAACATCTCCCATATGGATTCCAGCCAATTTGGTGTTTACTTTCTTCCAATTATTCTTCGCTAAATAGTAATGTAAAGAACTTGTTAAGTATTTTTGTGAATTACCTCTGCTCCTCTGTTAACTCACCATACTCTCCTTTTGGTTGTATATTTGACACTACCTTTTTTTTCACTACGTATTAGAATATTCACAGTAGTTTCTCATATTTTGGTGATTAATTTGAGTTTCACAAGCTCATTTAAGAGACACTTTCTGAAGTCATGGTGTCCTTGAGTCAGGAAGTATGTGCTTGTAATGTTTCACTCTAAATAAATATTAGAATGAATAAAGATTGACTGCTGGCTTTCTGGGAATAAAACATAATTAACTTAACATTTATATAGCACCTTTCACAACTTCAGAATGAAGAGCTTCAACACCTGTGAAGTGCTTGTGAAGTATAGTCCCTGCAGCAGCAAGTAAAAACTCAGCAGCCAATTTGCATATGGCACGCTCTCACAAATAGCAGTGAGCTAACTGGTCAGATAGTGTTTGTAGTGAATAAAAACCGAAAGACCTGCGGATTCTGTAAATCAGGAATAAAAACAGAAGTTGCTGGAAAAGCTCAGCAAGTCTGGCAGCATCTGTGAAGGAAAAAAACTGAGTTAACGTTTCGGGTTCGGTGACCCTTCCTCAGAACTGATGGTGGCTGGGAGAACTCTTCTCTCTCTTTAGGCTCTAACCTATCGTTTACTCCCTACCCCATCCCCCTCCCCTTTTTTCTGCATATAACTGACGTTTTCCCAGCCACCATCAGTTCTGAGGAAGAGTCACCGGACCGAAAACATTAACTCAGTTTTTTTCCTTCACAGATGCTGCCAGACCTGCTGAGCTTTTCCAGCAACTTTGTTTTTGTTCCCGTGTTTGTAGTGATGTCGGTGAAGGATAAATATTGGCTGGAACGTGAGGAGGACTTTCTGCTTGTCTTTGAATAGCACTATTTGAAGTGCACGACTGAAGATTGAACAGATTGCAGCCGAGAATAGACATTACCATATATTAAGTGTAATTGGTGGTAAAATGTGTAAGCCATTGAGAGCACAAGAAATATTCTTCCAGCTTTATTTGTTCCCATATATTAATCTGTATAAGTGTTTGATAGTGTTGCGTGTGTGTATGCCTGTGTTTGCGCGTGGGTGTGTGTATGCATGTTTGTATGTATGCATCTGTGTGTGTGTGTGTGCATGTGAGTGTGTTTATGCATGTTTGTATGTATGCATCTGTGTGTGTACGCATGGGTGTGTGTATGCATGTTTGTATGTATGCATCTGTGTGCATGTGTGTGCGTGTGTGTGTATGCATGTTTGTATGTATGCATCTGTGTGCATATGTGTGCACATGCGTGTGTGTGTGTATGTGTATGTGCATGTGTGTGTGCATAGCTGTGTGCCTGTGCATTCTAGCTTTTGGAAAGTGATTCAGGTTTGAAAAAATAGTTTACTTAATTTTCTGGGTGTTTTCCTGCATAATGAGGATCACTCTTATGCATAGAAAGGGACCCAACTCATGTAAAACTCCAGTATAAATAAGAAACTAACTTGATGCAGGATTTTTAAAAATAATTTCTAATTTATCCCTGCCTCCCAGTTGTGTGTTCCTCTTTCCCAGATTTGTCAGAGCGTGTTATCATCTTTTCACTTTTGATCTACATAGGCTGATCCTACCACTGCCATAGTGATTCATGCAGCACTGAGATGATTTACCTTGTTTTGATGTTACTGAATTGTATCTGTCATTAACTTAACTCCATAAAAGAAGAATTAAGGCAATGGTTTGTTTTGAAAGGCAGTGGGAACTGTGAGAAGGTGCCCTTTTCTTCCTTGTTACATTTGTTTCTTTAATGTTCTGTGCTATGCAACCACAGTATTCCTCAAGGGCTTTCTAAGAGGGCTGCTTCTAAATATTATGTTTGTCATGCTATTGCTTCAGTAAGTGTCTTTTTATAAAAGAAAAATGAGTGTAAAACCTTGGAAATAAATCCAGTATCATTCTTGCAACGCAACTCAAAACTTCTGAACTCTTAGCCTGAAGGGCTGTATTTTTATGTTGTAACTGACCCAATGTAGACTGTTTGTTGAAAGCAAAAACAGCCATGAAATGAAAATACAATGCAGTCATTACATAGGACTGCGCAAAATTTACTGTACAGAAACAAGCCATTCAGCCCTACTTCTTTATGCTAGTATTTATGATCTTCTTTGCACCTGAGTTTTTAAAAAATGTAACCAACAGATTTGACAGGTTGGAATGGAATGTCATCTTGTGTAGAATAGTTTTGCAAATATTTGAAAGTATGAATTTTCTATTTTACCGAGTATCTGAAATTACAATTAAAATTAAGTAATTTTCTTTCCCTATTTACAGCTTATTTCCAGTGATGCAGATGGGGCCATACAGAGAGCGGGAAGATTCCGGGTGGAAAATGGATCCAGTGATGAGGTGAGGAACAATATTGGTCACATCTCCTCAGTTCATCCTGTCCTGAGATAAAAGTTTGATTTGGATCATTTGAAATTATTCCACTTGATGCTGCGAAGGTGGAATTAGTGACTAGGCTTCCATAATGCAGGCATCTAATCTTGTTTGGCAGTGCAATGCCTGGCTTGGTGTTGGGCTTGGAGTAGGTATGCCAACACCTTCATGCCATCATGGCATTTTTACAGCAGGGCCACACCCAAATGCCAGTCCCTGATCATGTGGGCTAGCAGCATCGAAGTACTCTTCGATGTACTCCAATGGTAGCCCCAGTGGGGGCCATCCCCTTAGCTCTTGGGAATGGGTCCCATTTTCAGCTCTGAGCAGGCACTAATACTGGCTTCCTGGCTACAAGTCAGGAATTTTGGGATGAAGCCTCTCAATTGCTGCTTTAAACAGCAAGGGCATTGTCTCATGGGAGGGTCATTCCACTGTATCAGCTCACTGCCAGGGGCAATATTTGGAGAAGGAACAGGAATTGATGCACCACTGGTACCAGTATTCCAAATGAATTGAGCTTAATGCACAGTTAGTATCTGCATTATCATGGGTACACAGTGGAAATCAGCCTCTTCCTCATCATTTAACCCTCTCGATCCTATCAATATGAATAGAATCTAAGTAGTACACACATTCTTTTTGTGAAGTTTGCTTGTTGTGTGGTACTGTTCATTAAGCATCACATTGTTGAAGGGTTGTTAGAAAGCTTCTAATTGTTGCAACATTGAAATCTATATTGGTTTTGTTCTATTGTACACTTAGTCATTTACAGCCATCGCAAAAGGCATCACAATAAATTTCTGATACTATGGTGAAGGATCTTCTTCATAAATGTGCAGAACATATTGCCTTTTGTTTATATATTTAATTGTAGTGTATCTCCACTTGTGATAATAAGTACACTTTGTTCTAGGTAAATGAGCCTCGACTACAACGATAAATAACATTTCAGTAATTAAATGTCAAGCCACTAAAATACATTTCCAACCAGTCACACAGAGTGTTTTACAAAATTCCTATTGTAAAAGATTGAGCAGTTTCCCACTCTGTAATCCGTTTGTAACAGAGTTGAAACAATGTGAGCTTCATTAGCTTTGAAATGCACTCAGTATTTTCCTGCAGGTGTGGGTGATACTGATAGGACTGAAAGAATAGTGCATTTATCTGTATCACATTCAAAAGTGTAAATTCTGTCACGGGTAGTATTGAAATGCGCATAATTCATTTGTTGACGCCTTGTAGTGTAGAGTGAAACTGCATTCATAAGTTGTTGTTTCTCTGATTGATTCATGAGATGGAGGTGTTTCTGCCAATGCTTGTTCACTCTGTTGTCTCAAGAAGCTGGGATGGGTTGCTGTCTTGAACTATCGTAGTTCGCCTGGTCAAGGTGTTATTACATTAGGGAATTCCAAGATTTTGACCTAGTGAAGATAAAGAAATGCGATATATTTCCAACTCAGGAAGGAATGGGGCTCGGAAGGGAACTTGCTGGCGGAGGTGTTCCCAAGCAGCTACGGCCCTTGTCCCATCAGGAGGTAGAGGTCGGGAGTTTGGAAAGTGCTGGCAAAAGAATCTTGATGAGTTGCTGCATCTTGTGACTGGTGCACACTGCTGACCGTGTGCATTGACAGTGGGAAGAATGGATGTTGAAGGTGATGGAAGGGATATTGATCAAGCAGCTGGTTTGCCCTGATGGTTTTGAGTTTCTTTGATTGATACTTTAGCTCTAGACAAATGGGAAGTATTCCATCACACTCCTGACTTGTGTTTTGTAGATGGTGGACAGACTTTGGGGAGATAGGAGGTGGGTGACCCATCACTGAATACACAGCCTCTGACCTCCTGTTGTTGGTGAATGACTCAGTTTTAGGAATTATTAAGGGGAGATGGTCAGATTTATCCTTGTTAGGAATGGGCATTGGCCGTGAATCTAACTTGCTACTTCTCAAGCCAGGCCTGACTGTTGATCAGGTCTTTACAACTGAGGACACAATCTGATTTGCTATCTGAGGAGTTGTGTGCAGTGAGGCGATGGCATAGAACTTAAATATAATAAAAAGTCCCACTTAAATCACGTGTGAAGGTTGTTGTAATTGCTATTGTTCTTAGTGATCACCTCATAGTTCTTTTGGAGACAAACTCCTGTCTGTACACTGAAGAAACAGCTATTGCAAACAACCCTGGTTCCCTGGCACAGTGACTCGGTGGTTAGCATTGCTGCCTCACAGCGCTTGGGAGCTGGGTTCAATTCCAGCCTTGGGTTTGTGTGGAGTTTGCATGTTCTCCCTGTGTCTGTAATGGCAGGGACCATTAGAAGCAGTATAGATCTTGGGGCTATGAGCTTAAATTCTTTAAGATCGTTGGTTTTATTTAAGAAGCAAGTTGAGAACCAGGTTCACAAAGCAGACAGGATCCTAGACTTTATCAAGAGGTGCACAGAGTATAGAAGCATTGGACTTGCTGTTAAACCTGCCCAAAACATTGGTTTAGTCTCAGCTGGAGTGTTATATCCAGTTCAGTGCATTGCACTTTAGGATGGATGTGAAAACAGTAAAGATTCAGTAAAAAAAACTGAAAGAACTGTGGATGCTGTGAATCAGGAACAAAAACAAAGTTGCTGGAAAAGCTCAGCAGGTCCGGCAGCATCTGTGAAGGAAAAAAACAGAGTTAACGTTTCGAGTCCGGTGTTCTGAGGAAGGGTCACCGGACCCGAAACGTTAACTCTGTTTTTACCTTCACAAATGCTGCCAGGCCTGCTGAGCTTTTCTGGCAACTTCTGTTTTTGTTCAAAGATTCAGTAAAGCTTTCCGAGCTGAGGATGGGTGGGGAAGGTGGTTGGTGAGTGGAGTATTGAAGTTCAGCACGGTGACAAATGTTCAAACTGCAAGGATTTTTAAAAGTAAAATGAACAAACATTTATACCTTTCCACAGCAATTAGGCCTCAAAGAAGTACCTGTTAAGCCATGTCTGCCAATAGAAAAAGATGCACAGATTCAAGGGGGTCTCACAGCTGCTTCAGGCCTCTCTGGCAGTCCTAATAGCTCAAAATCTCAAAATGGTGACCACACTCTGAGGTTTTGACCCTCAGTCTGAGAAGTCCTGATCTGGGCTGAGTCTTGGGCAGTGCTGAAGGAGTACTGCCCTGTTAGAGATGGTGCTATACAGATGAGACATCAAATATATACCTCAAAGGTCTGTAAAGAAGCTCGTTACACTCTTTCAAAACATAGAAGGGAATTCTCCTGGTGTCCTGGGAAGCATTTATCCCATTATTAACACCAATGAAAACAGATTAATTGACCATTTATCTCACTGCTGTTTGTGAGATCTTGCTGTGAGTAAATTGGCTGTGTGCCCACATCACAACACTTCTTCAAAAGTACCTTCTTCAGCTATGAAACTCTTCAGGTCATCCTGAGAACAGGAAAGGCTCAGTATAAATCTAAAACTTGCTTTACATTGGAGTGAGATTGATATTTTCTTGCAAAGTTAAGAGCGAAGATTCACAATTCTGTTCTATTTCTGCAGCAGGCTGTTTTTAATATGGTGTGAAGGTGAAAGATGTTCCTGGCTCGCACCAACATGTACATATGCTGGAAAGAGCAAAGAGCGGAAATATATATTAAATCATACAGTTTTCAAAGTGGGTACAGAAACAGAGAGCAGAGCTGGATGAACACAGCAGGCCAAGCAGCATCATAGGAGCAGAAAGGCTGACGTTTCGGGCCTAGACCCT